AAACTGATATCTTGAAATATAGATTAACATGCTGACAAACTGTTACAGTTTAATCAAGTTATAAATTCACATCGAGTATTATATAATTTATATTTGGCTTTTAAGATGTTTTCTTTCAGGTTTTCTTTCAAACATTGTGATTTCGGGAAACACTCGATGTTATCATCATATACCGCTGATAATACTAATTGTGATCGCGGGCACTGACAAAGAACGCCCGGGATGTAGTAAAATCCAACCAAAACGGGGAAAATCCGAGAATGGACGTTTCTTATGTCGAGATTGACGAAATCGGCAATCTTGATGCTGGAACCCAAATTGCAGTTAAAAAGTCAGCTGAAAGTTTACATTCATCCTTCAGCTTCTTTTATCCTTTCTTAAAAAATATGAGGTATTACTATCATCATGGCGTGTATTTAGGCCATTGTAAAGTGGTTCACTTCGCTGGACAAGACAGAGAAGATGCCAGACCTCGCAAATGTGATATATTTCAATTCTGGCAGGATGCAATGGATCGTAAACTATATAAAGTCCAATACAACGATCCAAGTGTCGTGCTGTCCACCATATTAACGTGCCATCGTGCGGATGAAGTGTTGGCAAGACCTGGAACATGGCCAGGATTTCAATTTGCTGATTACAACTGTGAATCGTTTGCGATATGGCTGAAGACAGGGAAAAATATACATGCTTCTGAATTAATTAGACCAATACTCCCTCTAGCTGTTGCTGTTGCGAGTTTCTGAGCTTCAGGGGCCAGCGGACAGTAATACGAAGCAAAATTATTTCTAGTATAAAAATACTTCACTTTGATTTTAGACTATGTACGTTTTGTGAACAATTCCTATATTTTATGTATGATCCAGAAATTGAGGACATAACACCATAGATAGAGACATGAAGGCAATATATTATGCGCACAACAGACGAAATTTACAAATTCAAAATTATGGAGAAAGTATATTAACCATATTGCAAACAGACTAATATTTGCATTAATATTAATAATGAGGCCCACCAAGGGGTTATGACCGATAGGCGACATTCCTTAAAAAGAGGCGACAGACTATCTAAAGTGTGGCGACAAACGACAGCTTCTGACTGGCAAAAAGCGACAAATTGCGATTTGTGTTATTAGGTCAAAAGTGACAGCGACATTTATTACAATAAAACAAGCGACAAAGCAGCTACAAAATTAGTGACAAGCGACCTGGGTTACACCCTTGGTGGGCCTCAATAATAATAATATGACTTTATTTATGCATGAAGATGTTTAAAGCATAAGCTTGTGGGGTCGATTATACATACTAGGGTACTGCCATGTGTATGTTATGCGTAAATATCAAGATTTTTGTGGCATCTCACTTAAATGAATAAAATTTGATGGGTGTGGTAGATGGAAATTGTCAAGTGGAAATTTATATACATTTATTAAACCTAACCAGGAACAGAAGCAAAAAAAACAACTTTAGGTCTCTGACAGGAATTCTGGATAGAAAGCTTTGCAACATGTATAAAGGTCATACACGAGAGAATTTAATTGATGAGCATGACCTAGGGTTTACTCTGCTGACATTTGTCATCCCATTTCTTTTGTTTTTTGATCAGACCTTGGAGCAGTGGGGGGAGGGGGGAGGCGGCTGCCCTCCAAACGAGAAAGCGTTTGTTTATTAAAATGGGAAATATGGTGTTTTTTGCAAACTTTGAAGTGTGTTATATGCTGGTAATAAACAGCTTTCAAGTTTGCTATGTTACTTTTCAAACGAATTTGTATAGGTAATAGTATGATTTCAAATGCAATTTGGGTTTTACATGCACAAGTGAGTTTTTCAAAGACTATCAAAATTGCACGAGTCAGAAGGACGAGTGCAATTTGAAGTCTTTGCAAAACTCACTCGTGTATGTTTTTCCAAATTCCACGAGAAACCGTACTTCTATACTTACTGTATTGATATGTGCATGCGTCACATGCAAAATAGATAATTTTAATATTAACAATTTTATTAGAAAATCTACTAATTTTGTCACTTGTTTGGGTTTTTTATTACTTTTACTTTTTGGCACTGTATTTCGAAAAAAATTGTACTGCTCTTAGCCAATCAGAATTGAGAAATTTTTTCATGTATATTATTAAAAGAGAAATTCAACATGAATTAAGGACATTAAGTCATTCTCTGCACATTTATTTAACTGTGATATCAGGACAATGATATATGGCGTTAGTTTTGTTTGTGTTTGAGAACCATATCTGAAAACGTTTGCATCAAAAGAATTTTCAATGACGAAAAATCCCAAAAAATTCAAAACACGTTTTTAGTAATTATTATACACTGATAGTATTTTATTAATTGGTATGCCATTATGCTTCAATACAATGCTTGATGATAGTATTTTATTAATTGTTATGCTATTATGGATTTATGCTTCAATATAATGCTTGAAAATTCATTTAAATTTTACATAGTATACAGTATTTCATAGTTAATTCATTCATAGTGAATAGGATATTTGCAAGTTTATATGTTGAATTCATATTCTCAATTTTCGTATTCCGGGATGTCTGTGTTCCTTGCGTTCGCTAGCTGCTGTTTTATGTACTACAAAGAAAAGAAAACAGAATTAATTGATTTATAATGGAAAACGTTTCAAAAATCCTTTATATTTGAGGCTGGTCAGTGGTGTAACTTTACTTTTTTGACCACTTGCCCTCAGGGCAAGTTGGACATGAAAATTAGTTGCCCTGAATAAAATTCAAATGGCCATTGGGGTACCTATAGGTAGGGGGTATAAATTAAGGGGACAACATGTCGACCCGTTCTCCCACAAATCTATATGGCTATGTTATACTGCCTCAGATTTTGGCCCACAAAAAACAAAATTTGAATGAAGTACATGCACTATAAAAAATTTATCCTACAATGAAAACATAAACTTAAAGATTCCCAGCTTTTTGTGGGAAGGCAACTTGCCCAATCGGGCAAGCAAGATAAAACGTTTACTTGCCCGTCATGAATTTCACTTGCCCCGGGCAAGTGTTAAGTTACATCTCTACTGCCTGACTGGTAGTTAAGCCTGGTTTACACTATCAAAGTGATCACAGTAGGAATTTTGCATGGGTGAATTCTAAGTTTTGAAGGTAAGCGGAAATGCTTGAGGAAACTGATTCAGTGTTAAACACTAAGTCAGTTTCCTCAAACATTTCTTAAAAATCCTTCAAAACTTAGAATTTACCCATGCAAAATTCCTACTGTGATCTCAAAAGCTTTCAATTGATAGTGTAAAAACCAGGCTTTATTCTCTCATAGAATGTTGAACTGTCTTTGCCAGTGTGGGTAGTGCCAATCAATTGAACAAGCTTTCGTTGGTAGAGATGCAACTTCGCATCCAAGTTGACGTCATCAGTTTTCAATCTCGCTCTGAAAGACTGGTGAGCCAATCAGATTATTTCATTTTCACCGCTACAAAGTAAACGTACTGCAATATTACCTGGTACAATTTGGAATATTTTTTCAACCTCGAATTATCTTGTCTTCCCTGTTGTGGATGTAAAATGTTTGATTTCGTATTAATCTCTCGTTTTGCTTGTGGGGGTATAACTACGATCAGACTATCAGCCTCGTGTGCGGTAAAGAACAATGTTGCTACTAATGTTACAATTAGTGTGATAGAACGCATTTTGGAATATTTTCACTGAACTTCACTGAGACTCTCACTTCACTTGTGACAACTTTTCCTCATTTTACGCGTCCTTTTATGTCTTCTTTTCGTAATTAATTTCATCTTAACACAGCGTCCATCTACAGATAAGATTGTAATTATTTTATTTTATGAAAGATACGTTAGAACTTTCCATACGTAACGCCGGCTATCATAATGCAAACAATATATTATATCAATGTAGATAATATCCTGATAAGATAATCGATAGAAAAGCTGTTTTATTGAATGACATTGCAATAGCACATTCAAAAACGGTAATTTGGGGTTCTAAATTGTTTTAATCTTTTCATTTCACGCTGAGGGGGAAGGAAATGAACAATTATTACGTTTTCCTTTGGTTTCCTTTGTGGAGGAAGAGCATTTTACTTTAATACCTTCTTCATCTATGCATCTTTCCACCTTCTGAATTTGATAGAAATCATGTTTAAAATATTTTTTATTCCATTAGTTCGGCATAAAGTTAAAACAAAAGGTTAAGTGTTGAGACGTATGTAAGACAGATTGTCTGTCAAAATCTTTTTAATAATTTCTGAGTGCAGGCTTTTTTCAGCAAATTTGAGGTGACAATCAGGATTTTGGCAATCAGGATCTTAGAACTACAGCCCAGGGCAAACTAGGAGTGGGCAAACACTAGGAAACATTAGTGAGAAACATTGGGAAACATCAAATGTTTCTGAATTTGGTAAGAAACATTTTTGCTTCACGGGAAGCAAATTTTGTTTCCGCAACAATGTTTCCACGGGTGGGCAAACAGGGAAACATTTGAGGAAACATCGAGAATCACAAATGTTTCCACAACAATGTTTCCTAGTTTGCCCAGGGCTTAAGTGTTGAAGGGTTTTCACGTTTCGTGCAAAACTTGAAAGTCCTTGAATTTATAAAGAGTGCTTGAAAGTCCTCGAATTCTTCATGCTTTAGTATTTGGATATTTTCTGAAGTTAGTTCACATTAAAAACCGACCTAAGCTTGGTTTACTCCATCAAAGTTTCTGTGATCACAGTAGGAATTTTGCATCGGTAAATCATTCTATGTTTTGAAGGATTTGTAAGAAATGTTTGAGAGGGAACTAACTTGGTGTTAAACACTGACTCAGTTTCCTCAAACATTTCTTACAAATCCTTCAAAACATAGAATTTACCTATGCAAAATTCCTACTGTGATCACAGAAACTTTGATAGTGTAGATGTTTGAAATTTATTACAGTTTCCATTGGAGCAGTTGAACATCATTTTTTACTCATTTCTAAAGCCTTCAGTCTTTTAGTCCTTGAATTTCTTAGTACATTGGCCTTGAAAAGTGCTTGAATTTTAGTGCTCGAGTTTTTTTGACCTGTAGACGAATCCTGTTTTGTTTTTGAAGATGGCGGAAATCTCGAGTGTGAAACAATGAGTCATAAATCTTATGTCTCGCTGCAAAACAACCGGATATCAAAATGTTTATACGATGTGATATGGTAAAAAAAATGATTTGAATCTTTGACGTTGCAATATGTGAAGTGGGAAAGGCAAAAAAGAAGGACATTGATATTGTTAGCAAAATATCGGTTGATATGGATACGGCTACCTGATAGCAAGGAAACTAACTTCCCCACCAAGGGCATTCCTTCAAAACCAGGGGCGAAACTTCGGTCACAAAATAGGGTACACAGAAGGCCGACTTCTTGGTTTTTCCTATGATTTTCCTATGATTTTGGTGTAACCCGCTAGCCAGTGCGCGTTTGAAAGGCATTCACCCCCTGATAATATTCAAAATGGCGGATGCCTCTCAAACCATAGATCTCAAACGCGCACTGGCTAGGACCATGGCGTCAGCATTTTGATGATGAATCATGGCGTGGCAGCGGTTACTCGAGTCGACCTTCTGTGTGCCTTATTCTGTGCTTCGGTATTACGGCTGGGGGGGGTGAGCTTGTTTTGCCCGACCAAAATGGCGTCACCGAAGTCGTTCCCGATCATATGTTCCCGATGGACGAGCATTTCAGTCGCTAATTAATATTTCTTTTCCCAAAATTGTTGGCGAGTGGTTGAAAAAAATTCCGGACATAGCATTTTTTACTAACTTTCCGGTAATATACTGTAGTTTGTAAAATTTTTAGTGATATTTTCGTAAATTTATCAAAAATTTTCCCACAACTATTAGTTTTTTCAATCCGAGACACTCTAATATTTTCAAAATTTGCCCGACAAAATTGTAAGGACATGCCCGACGAGATAGAGAGTGGGGGGTCACAGCCCCCGTAGTTTCACCCCTGCTCAAAACATTGAAGTTCTCCTTCTATTTTTCATGTAGTCGCATCGCTATCAACCCGACGTTTTGATATTATTGCCTCCACACCTACACACCGTTCATTGATATTGTTTTCTTGCCCTTGAAATAATATAAAACATATATTCGTAATTGTATCATAGTATTACTTAAAATCATCGCTATGTTTTGTCTTCTATATAAAAAGTGAAGATTAGGAAGATTAAGTAGTATAGTTTGATAAGATGTTTTGATTAGAGCGTAGGCCTATCTTTATGACGTGACGAAGATCAACGCTTTTCATATTGAGACCAAGGCTGTAGTGACCGGGGGGTGTGGGGGTGTAATTCCCCATAATTCAAGTCAAATTGTATGATACTCCAATTCTCAGATAAGTTATAAAAGCACTCAATTTTTTTCAAGATCCTTACTATGAAAATAGTACGGATCTTTGTTGGAAATAGTATGGAAATCCAATTTTCGTGGTAATTGCAATTTTCATACTATGGACATAGTATAGAAATAATATGGATATATAATAGTTTTGTTTGTGGAAACACCACGTAAATTTATTACTGCAAAGCTTTCGATCCGTAATCCGGGCTTACGGATCGAAAGCTTTGCAGTAATAAATTTACGTGGTGTTTCCACAAACAACTATTATATGTTTTATCGCCATGCAATGATGCAAACTCACAAAGAACTTAATATGGATATACTATGGATTTTGTGACGCAATTGCAAATTCCGTATAGTATGAATTTCACAATTTTTTCAAGTGACTGACAGGCAAGCGTGAAATCTAAAATTGTAAAAACGTAAGCTAAGAATTTGATTGCATTTCCGCGCTTTCTGAGGAGTCTAAATTAAATACTCAAAAAGTTCCCCCCCGGACATTTAGTTTCGTATGCCCCATTGTGTTTTGTTCGCAACAGCTGCTAATTAGCCATTTCCCAAAGTCCTGAGTCTAGTCGCGCAAATCCCATGTTGGAGGGACAAGAAATATGGCAGCACACATTTAAATTAAATGTTTAATGTAAAAAGGAGATATTTCATTTTTGGTCGTCTGAAAAGTTGATTTTGATAGTAGATACTTCTACTCTTTCACAGCCTCGTCCCCAGGGCCTTCGTGACTCACGTATTTGACACCTGTCACTGATATATTTTGCTCCTCCAAACGATCCCAGAATGCACTGTTATCTCTTTTGGGAAATGGCCAATTGAATGTACTCAAAAGCACATTTCTTTGTTCTCACAAATTTCAAAAACTGCCTATCGTCCCCAGGGCCTCTCCTCCCTAGGTCCTGGGACACACGGAACCGGAAGTGCAAGAAAACTTGCAGTAGTTTCTAAAGCGCATGCTCTTGAATTGGGACGCGGAAAATATAGCGAAGCAACAAAAATGCCGAGACCTTGGCAATACACGTGACGTCACAACTAGGTTTAGACTGTGACGTCAGGAAGTTTCCTATCCAGTTACTTTACAATCCATGTTCGCATGTACGAACCCTGGCTAGATTTTAACCCAAGGTTAGCGCTAACCCAGCTTGAATAATCAGCCCCTGGTGAACATATGACCAGCGGAGGGTAAATATTAAATAGACGCAGAAAATCCAATATATATATATATGAACAATAATATATTTTAAAAATTTGAAGTAAAAATGTTTCGAATTCTTATGTATAATAATCATCATACAACGTTCTGCATCGTTATAAACATTCATTGTAAAAAATTACGTCCATAGCGCACTTATTATTACAAATACTATATCAGCGCAAAATCATAGTAACTTAGTATATACACAACATATATCAACGCAACGAGTTAGGTCTACACACTACATGATTCCTGGGTCCATGTAATTAGAATTAAAGCCAGGTTTACACTATCAAAGTTTCTGTGATCACAGTAGGAATTTTGCATAGGGAAATTCTAAGTTTTGAAGGATTTGGAAGAAATGTTTGAAGAAACTGATTTGGTGTTTAAATTAACACTAAGCCCATTTCTTACAAATCCTTCAAAACTTTAATTTACCCATGCAAAATTCTTACTGTGATCACAGAAACCTTGTTAGTACAAACCAGCTTTTACTTAGACTGTGTTCCAGTCCACTACACCGTTGGGCTAGTCGGTACTCGGCGGTTTGCCCAAATTGCTAATTCTGTTTCCGCCCCTGCAAGTCGTCAGCATTTCTGAGGGTGACCCTTGTCTACTATTTTGAAAAAAGACGAGGTAGACGTCATCTGAAATCACCACTCATTGTCAGTATTTAACATTGAGCACAATTGATTCGAGAAATCGCAATGTTTTAATATGAAAGAGTTGTCATGCTCGTAATATAAACATTGCTAGGGAGCGAGGTATTAAGCCTGGTTTACAATATCAAAGTTTCTGTGATCACAGTAGGAATTTTGCATAGATAAATTCTAAGTTTTGAAGGATTTGTAAGAAATCTTTGAGGGAAATGACTCATGTCACAGAATAAGAAGGTACATCAGAAGTGCAACTTGAGTCGGTTCCTTTATTATTTTACGTCCACGAAAATTTTAACTCGCTCGCGGCATCCTGGCTAGTAAAACCGGAAGTTTTTATCAAGTTTTGGTAGGTACAAAGTGCCGGTTGTTCTAGCCGGGATGGCGTAATTGATGACGAATCGCTTGTAAAAACACGGACAAATACTTGCTTGAGTTACGCTTCTGCTATACCTTCTTATTCTGTGCTCATGTGTTCACTGTCGATACAATAGAAGTGTTGATAAAATATTGCAGTTGATCAATTCATACCAATTCAAATTTCTTTTTACTTCCTGTGTGTTTCCTATTGGTCAATCGGTTCTGAAACGAAATCTAATTGGCTTATCTAGAAGTCACAGGAAGTTGATCAATTTTCTATCAAATGAATTGATCAACTTGAGGAAAGGAATTGGTTCAATATTTTATCAACACTTCTATTGCATCACAGATGATAGATAATACCAGATGAATCACTCAGCCAAAATTGTGGCCAACGCGTGTTCATAAAAAATCGCGGACGCTATTTTGGCAGTAACTGTAATCCACGCCATGAAACGTGAGCAATCATGCATTTTGGCAGTAAGCGCCATTTTGGCAGTAAGTGTCGCTACGAAAATCATAGGGATAGATACACAGTGATTCATTTGGTATAATCTATCATCTGTGATTGCATCGACAGTAACACTTACCCAGTTAACTCAAACATTTTTTACCTTCAAAACTTATAATTTACCCATGCAAAATTCCTACTGTGATCAGAGAAACTTCGATAGTGTAGACCATACTATATGAATATGTATAAAACTACATATTTACTTCAGGACTTTAAGCTTGAGTACGACGAATTACTGCCTCACCATAATTGCTACTTGTGTAGGGAACACTATATATATGTTCACATACACCTGATTATTTTATGCTAACTTATTGGTTTATATGTCTTTAATTGAGCATGCGCGCAGCACATGCAAATACAGCATGCACAGCAATGCGAAATACATATTCAATACACGAGTTCCAATTTATGCATGGGTTTCACTAAGCACTATCGTGTACAGCTGGTACACCTGCAGTTAACAGAGTGAGAAAATAATGTTAATTCAACTTTTAACAATAGGGCCATTTATACGTGACAAAATAAGTCGCGACTTACATAAGACGCGACTTAAATAAGTGGAGTTATCGCATAAATGGTTCTCTACGGCTTTGGTCTTGTTTATTTGCTATAGCTATGTTGTTTTGGTTGTTTTTGTTTTAATATGCAAGGCATTAAATTTTACGTTGTTTCAAGTTTCTGGCATGTGTAGTTAGACTTTTTGTCCAAAATTTCTTATTTAAGACGCGACTTAAATAAGAACAGCTAAAAGACCTGTTCTTATGTAAGACGCGTCTTATCCAAGACGCGTCTTACATAAGAATTTTGTACCTTTTATACGACAAACTCGCGTCTTACCTAAGTCGCGTCTTATGTAAGTCGCGTCTTATTTTGTTCCGTATAAATGGCCCTAATGATATTTTCGGAAACTTTTCTGTCCGTGGAAAAATTTCTTGAGTGGAATAATGGCATTAGTGCTCAATGAAACCCATCAGTATGACCTTACGCATGCGTATACTTGGTATTGATATAAACAATTGTCTTGTTTCCATGGTTACATAGCATCATCACGGGGGAGGGTCCACTCTACCTCAGTGTATAGGAGGGGTATGTCTTTTACACTTGCTCCTGGTCCAACAGACCTTAGTCTTTGACCAGTCGATATAAATGATGTTGTGCTCCATGTTCGCTCGTTGAAACTTCAAACACATAGGATAGACAAAGTAATGTGTCTTGTGTGTCCCTGTTCGTCACCGTCTACAGTGAAACAAAATTATTCAATTAGCCTTTTCCCCAAAAGAGATCACAGTGCATTGTGGGATCGTTTGGAGGGACAAAATACACGGCGACAGGCGCCAAATATGTGAAAGAGTAGAACTTCAACTTTTTAAACGACCAAAAATGAAATATCTCCTTTTTACATTAAACATTTAATTTAAATGTGTGCTGCCATATTTCTTGTCCCTCCAACATGGGGTTCGCGCGACTAGACTCAGGACTTTGGGAAATGGCTAGTAGTATTCCGGCACGCGCTGTTAGATACTCATGCCCTGGCCACCCCCAATCACCTAATGGTAGGTTAATATATCCACATCCTATTTTTTAGACGCGTTTGGGCAACGAATATTGACATGGACGAAACTTTCTACGACTACGTGATCTGGATCCTAACTTTTTAAAGTAAGTTCACTTTATTATGTTTTAGAATTTGTTCGAGGGAATATGAATGTCAGATCTTGCTTGGTGTAGCTGCTATGTAGATTTTGTAAACAGCCAACCGGCGCTGACAATGAGCCTCGTTTTATTATTTTATTCCGTCTAATGCCAGACGATTTATTCCGTCGAGTCTTAAAGGAAGACTCTTGCGCTTACTAGTTAACGCAAAAAATATTGTCTTTCGGGTTCTAATACGAGTGTAAATTTCTGTTTGCAATTTGCTAGAAAACGTTTGTGGAACGCGTTCTCGATTGCGTTCGATTCTGAACGCACGCATTCGGAAATGACACGAAGTAGAACACGAAGGTAGTCTTAGGTTATTTCTCAACAATATCGAGCACCCACCTGTAGAATGGTAAAGTTTTCCAGCACACTGTTCATCATGTATTTCTCCGGAAGTTGTTTGAGTTTGTGTATAAAATTGATCATATATTCACACATTGGAGATCTGTGTATTCTGTACACAAAACGACCATTTTCAAAATGCGCATACTCCGTCTGCAAAATAAAACAATTTAGTGATGAGTTTATTACACTTCACAACTGTGGTCAACTGTAAACTGTTGATGAAAATGTAGGATAATCTTACTTCAACTTTTTCAACGACTTGTTTTCCAAAAGAACACACTTTCGTTGAGCAAGTGATTGTCATATTTTCACTTGATTCATACCTGTAAAAAAGATCCACCAGCATTTAGAAGATTGCTTCTAATGGTTCTAATTAGTTCTAATTATTGTAATTAGTGGTAAAAAAAAATAAAAAAGGTCCATAATTTGTTACTTACGTGCTTGACACACCATAGAAAGATCCGTTCTCGTCTTTTACATTTGTGTTGAGGTCAGCCTGAGAATTGAAGTTTTAGATGAATGACAAAATAATGTACACAATCTGAGAGCTGCTTCCATGCAAAGGCTACACAAAACCTGTCAGATTACAAACAATAAAACTAAGAATATAAAACCAACTTACCCAAAATTTTACCAAGAAGAAAACAGATTGTGGTCCCTTTTCATAAAGTTCTCGTAAACCGCCTTTCTTTTCCGGGAATTTGTCGTAAATCTGTCGGATATCCACAGCCTCTAAGATTGAGTCTTGGAAGTTTACATTGGGTCCAAGATGAACAAAAAGATGTTTGTGATACTGAAATATTTCAAAGGAAACATATCGGTCATTATCATAAATGGTTGTCAATGTCTCCTGAAACTACCAATAACCTGTAGGTGTTTATTTATGGGTAAATATCAAGATTTTGTTGGCATCTCATTCGATTGAATAATACTTGAAGGGTTTTGTACATGGAAATTATTGAGTGTAAATTTTCTATACATTTATTAGCCCTAACCAGGAACAACTATACGTCCTCTGGCAGGAATTAAACCCGTGATTCCGGTGTAGCGCTCTAACTAGACTTGCTCCAAGTCTCTCTTTCATTGTCATATAGTATCGATCCACTATAGTGTTATGACAATGAAAGAGAGACTTGGAGAAAGTCTATGCTCTGAGCTACAGAGTCCAGTTGTCAAGCTCTAACCACAAGTTCCTGTATAATGTAAATACTAGTGCACTGAGGTGTTTATTTGATACTCATTTATTAATAAATCTGACTTGTGAAAGAGGAATAACTAGACATAATAATTAAGTTACATACCGAGTCTGCTTTTATGCCAGTTTGTTCCACAAAGGCTTGGAAATCAATGAGACGTAATGGCTAAATAGTGGGAATATAAAATCTTGAATATGAGGATGCTGAAGAAGAGCTGGAGAGGAGACTGTGGCTTTGCAGATAAAGTGGGGTAGACCATAGACCCAGTGAACTGTAATAACACTGGAACGCTAACTGCAGGTAAACATGCCCATACCATTGGTAGACCACACAATGTGACAGCGAGCAAGTAACATCAGTCACCAGGCTCTGGTGTGAAATCCCCAGGAAAGGGGGAAAAGAAATAGTTGGAGGACATGTTCAAAGGAGCTGAACGAGATAGGATTGACTTGGGCAGATCTTGGAGAAACAGCCCAGCATAGGTCTGTGTGCATTGGAAGGCAGTTGTTGATGCCTGATGGTCGCAAGGAGCGTAACTTGAGTACAAGGCACTGTTCATGGAGAACAACTTAAATTCTTATCTTTGACTTACCATATTTCTGCTTGACCAGTTGGAGCTACCACTCATTGTTAATTGATTCCCAGAAGGGTAGGCTGATCTCTAAAACAATGATACAATATGTGGCTTTCTTTAAGCACTACAGGCCTGTAGACGACTGTCAACTTCAGAAATGTCAGCACTTGAAATAACAGCTGATCACCAATCAACGGTTGGGGCAGACTACCGATCACCATGATTGTAAACTATGGGATCAACATTTCCAGGGTGTGAAATAATATTACTTCTAGGAACAAGAAGATTAAACTGCGCTCATACTCACCATCTCTTCATTTGGGGAACTGACAGTGTTACTGGGTACTAACGCTGAAGATGGCCCAGGACTACCTCCAAATAATGTTCTGGTATGTGTTGTTGGAAGACCTCCAAATGATGTTGGAGTGCTGCCCGGCTGGCTTACTTGACTGTTCCAGTACTGCAAACAAAGATGTCAAAATGTTAGTAATCGTGTATGAAGAATCGGCGAATAACTTGCTAAAGAGAAAACGTGACTTATGAGGTTCTAACAGGAGCACTGAGGAAAGTTTGAGCCATAAAAAATTTGAGTCCTGAAATTCATAGCAATTTCTGTAATATTTTCAACACTGGCCTACTTTCTTACTAAGGAAAGATCTGGTATTTTTAAAAGACAAAGAGATTTTTGGTTTGATGTGTAGACTTACATATACAGTATATCACATTACATATCACAGGTATCAATAATTCATCTCAGATCTCACTGAATTGAACTAATTTGTAGATTTCATTCTTTTGTTCATTTCTGAATTCCTTCTGTCCAAATTGTCAATCTTTTTGCATAAATTTGCCTAATGATCATTTCCCCCAATGCTGATCAATCAGTTGTGGTGACTCTCCATGAATGCAAAGTGAAACCAGCTAAGGGTAAAGGCATGGGCCACTTGTTTAAAAAAATGAAAAAAGTGCCCTTTTTCTGGGCTAAATTGCCCAATGAAAAAAGTATTTCTTGAATCAATGCCCTCTTTTGCTGGAATGAAAATGCCCTTTTTGCAGTAGTGAAGACTCTGTAAAGGTTATTTCTGACGTTATAGGGACCATATGGCCAATGCCCTCCACTTTCTGTGTAAAGTCATAATCTGACCTGACTTCCAGCTTACCTGGGTGCTAGGAAGAGCTGGTAATGGATGACCAGGATGTGGACTGCTGTAATGGTCATTGTAGTTGTTTGATGGAGGAGCATTCTTGTTGTGAAGAACTGACGCAGAAACAATTTGGGCTGAGGACATTGACGCCATTGTTTGTAGTGCCTTGTCTCGTGCAGCTTGATCCTAAGAAAAATAATAAGTTTATGAGGTAAGCCCACCTGTATGATATTTGCTCCATATTTATAATCATATAGAGGGCAAAATTACTCAAATACGATTGGCTAATGAAGAGGGCATTTTTTCTTAATTCAGGGCAAAATTACTTGTACCTGATTGGCTGAGACGCAAGCGCGGGAAGTTTCTTGTTTTAAATAGCAATAAAAACAATGGCTTCTCGCTTTTTGTCGTTGTGGATAATAATGTTAATATGTTATTGAAGAATTAAAAACATCCAGTGAAAACTCCAATACTGGAAAAAGTACAATTTTATGGGTTGGAGTATTTAAGAAATGGGCAGCATTAAGGAACATCGGCGAAGACATACGAGGTTCAAGAACCTGACAAGTTCACAATTAACTTATATATACGAATAAATTTTTTCCTCTATGACTAACAAGTAATTGCACAGTTCCTCGTAAAATTAAGGTTTCATTTCACTTGTGTTTTCAAAGTTGAAACTTTGAAAACACGCATGAACCTTAATTTTACTCGGCTCCATGCGATTACCTATACTAATTTACTTGGCAAAAAGATAACTAAAGATACTCACTACCTTCAGTTTCGATTGAATTTCACGTGCTTTCTTTCTTGCTAATACTTGAATATGACTGGAAACCTAACAGATAATGGATTAATTATATTTCAGTATAAATTTATTTGCCTACCAAAGTGCAACTAAATATCTACTTCAGAAATTGCTTTCTGCACCAATTTTTTTGGTACCAACTACCAAGTTATATACAACTGATGGTAGTTCTCAGTATAAGTGGGTCATTCCAGAAAATTCACACATCCCACATGGAGGAAATTGGAAGATAACACTCCCCCTTTAGACATCCTAGTAGATTTACTATTATCAGAAGTAGATCCCTCCCCCTCCAGACAGCAGAAATTTCCTCCATAGGGGGAATGTGAATCAGGAATGACCCAATAAAAGATTCACTCTTGAAACATACTTGTTTTCTAGTTCTTGTTTTCCCTGTTCTCAGCTTGATGTATCGGGCAATTAGTTCATTGCGACCTGAAAAATACATGTTACAAAACTATATTGAGTTTCAAGTTTCTCCCCCATTGCTAAGCAGATTTTCCAACAGGCTATTACCTGCCCTTGTGAAAGATTCTTGACAATTGAAGCAGGGGCAAAACTATGGGGGTCTGGCAGAATTGCCCTGCCAAAACCAATGATGCAGCCTGCAGTGCCAGTGCTAATACAATACATCACTAAGCTACGTGTATAATTGAACTGCCGATGCCAATGTACATGCATACAAACTGCCTATTGTTTTTTTTCCTGTCTTGGTGTAATGTACTGAGGTGAATATGGCGCTTGTGATGCTTATGATGCTAGTATTCCAAAGGTCATAGGTTTGATTCCCACCGTGGCCAGGCATATTTTTCAAGCTTGCCCGGTGTGGATATACACTCAGAGTAACATCACATGCTTATTGTTTGCTAGCTGTAATAAGTTACTTAATAACTCTACATTCTATCATTTAAAATTGTATTCATAATTCATTTATTTAATTTTATTGGATTTTTTTTTGGGGGGGGGGGTGCCATTCCCCCCGCCCCCTCAAGTTTCGCCGCTGAATTCAAGCGACATGAAAAGTGACTTTTAGCTGTTGTAACTGTAAATTTACCATCATACAAACAACTACAATACTAAAAAGTTGTATTTCGTGGTGCGGAGACTCTCAAATGTGGGAGAGGCAGTGCCCCAAAAAGGTGGAAAAATCGGCCGTGAGAAAGGCTGATTGATAGGGAATCCGAGGTACCTACGATTTACTGTCGTTCCAATTGAAGTGTTCCTCTAATATTGATTCAATACATTACCTCGGCCTGACCAATTCATATGAATTCAATTTTTTTTTACTTCCTGTGCGTTTCCTATTGGTCAATCGGTTCTGAAACGAAATCTAATTGGCTCATTTAAAAGTAACAGGAAGTTGATCAATTTTCTATCAAATGAATTGGTCAGCCCGAGGTAATGTATTGAACCAATATTTGAGGAACACTTCAATTGGAACGACAGTAACATCCTTATCCGAGAAGACACAAAAGTCTAATCATTTACTGATGTCAATGTAGCTCTTTCTCCTCAATTATTTTAAGACCTTGAGTAGAGGTCCGACCAAGGATTGAACCCAGGTCTCCCAGCTTTAAGCGTCGTAACCATGACACCGCATGTGCTGGTCAAATTTATCAATGAATGTAGCAGGCTCATTTATCATTCCATTCTGACTAAACACCAGATGACTTTCCTCACTGATAGCAATTGTCTGCTAAATGTACTTTGTTGATGACAAAGAGTACAAAGTTACAAAGTCTTCCCATTTGGTGGGCAAAATCATGAAATAAGGCACACATTGCTGCTTTTATTGTTATAAAATTAGAGTGAGGTCTGAGAATTAGGTTTTACTTTCTCAGAATTGTTTTAGAACTGTGTGGGAAAGAACTTAAATATGCCTTGGCTGCAAGCAATATTTCAGCAAAATTAAAATGGTCTGTAAAAATTCATAATTGTTAACAACCCAAAGGAAATTATACGTGACCATTATTAAACAGCACTACTTGTAACAATTAATATTAATTTGCCACATCTTATATTAAATTGCTTATTTAACTTGTCCTAGGTAAATTCTAATTTATTGAATTTATACCAACCGCGAAAAAAATTTGGTTAAATATATAATAATTGTTTGTGTGGAACCACTTACAAAGAAATAAATGATTGGGATTAACATATACAAATATAGCCGAGGCTAAAATTGGGCAGAAATACATTATGAAATTTACTAAAACGATATTTAAAGCATAACAGTTAATTTCAAGGATAAAATTTAATGCTATGTAATGTTGGGTGTATAGTTTTCGCATTTAAAAGACAAAGGTTTCACATGTAGGTGTCGAGAAATTTTGAAAGCTTTTTTCTGAATACCGGCTTTTACTGCGATGCCACTTAGCCGCTGTTTAAAATGCTATTCAGAATCACTTGAAAATTATCATGTAAAACATTTAAAATGATTTAGACCAAGTAACATGGATAAATGACATAATTGAAATAGCATTACTATCATATTTTTATCAGCGAACAGACCAATCGTCAACAGACATTCTGTGCCCACCAACATTTCAAAACATAGCATGTGTATAAAATGCACGTAGACGTAATTTGCCCGCCATTGGATGCAATTTATAATCTGAAGAGCCACATTTCATGATGTAAAATAAGCTTAGGAAATTGTGTATGGGTATTTAAAAATTGAAATATGTTCAATTCATAACAAACAACATCATTTAGTATGCTCTGACTTCCTGAAATTTACGACCTGTGTTCGATCCAGTCGACAGAATTTGTTCAAAAGACCAATGCCTTAGACAGTAAAGCTGCATTGTTTTATTATAAGCCATTGGGAAAAATCAATATTATTGCTCCAATGTTGTGTAATTACCTGGCTAGCGGCGTAGAAATGTAATGTGCATTGAAATTCCAAATATTTTCGTGCTTTAGGAATGTATGCGATGCATTCTGCGTGTTTTTAAACTAGTTAAAAAATCTAAACATTATGTGACTTCCGTCATACAGATCAAGCAGCCATTGTTGAAACTTCGTTCAAAAACACAACAAAGATTTGGATGATTTTGTGCCAGAAAATCAGTGACAGAAACACAGCGAAGGTCTTCTTCTATACATTACCGTTTATTTACGGAAAATGAAAGCGTGAAAGATGGAATGTATCGATGTATCAAACGACACACGGTCACGGAGACGCTCATTTCAAAGACAACGTATCAAAAAGATTTGAGGGATTAAGACAACAAATGAGACAAAATACAACCTATACTCTTTCCATATAAAAGGAGCTTTCATATTTTGGCATAGAAACACCGGAATATATTCATAATAATATACAAACGTTAGCAGCTATTTCTCAACGGACATGATTTGTGAGACGACAGCGTTATAAAAACGACAAGAAGACAGTCGGTATACAGAAATGTCTAGTCATTGTTTAGCCATACATCGGCTTTCATTTACACTGGCTTATAAACAGCGAACTTATCGAGATAGAATCTGTATAGTACGTAGTTGCCAGCTATTTCTATACAAGACAAAGCGATGAAACAACGCGAGTTTGAAAGATCAAAAGGACAAAGCTCGGATCACTCACCGTACATCTTCCCTTCATCCGACAAAATAATTTTCCTTCTTCCACATGGCGGATAGATGGCGAGTGCTTCTTGAAAACTTTGTTCTATGTCAGGAGACCAAACTCCTTCAGCGTCCGATGCCATATCTTCAGGAGATTTCGCCTTGTCCTCAGAATTCGACATGTCTAGCGCGTCTGAATTCATAGAGAAAAATCTGTCTTAATCTCTCACTTGAACGCGAAATTTCACCAAAATTCTTCAAAATATAACTCTATATTTTGATGTACAATAATTTGCTACACTGTAGCACCGCGATCCGGAAGCTGAGACTAAAAAAATGAGAAAAATGTGAATCATTCATATTAGATTTATACCTCAAAGTTTACTGGCCATATACGCGGCTACTTAATTCAAATACGCGCCTGAATGACGGCCGAAAAAATCACAAAATTCCTCAGTCAATGTGCTCAAAATTTCCATCTAAAACCTCAAATAATACTCATAACTACCTGTATTTTATTCCCCTTGAATAAATTTTCAATTAATATGAGCAGTTAGCCTTGCCTGTGGATAAACTAGTTATGTTCGGAATGAATTGAAAGAATGTATGGCTTGCCCACTGTAAACTGCAGTTCGGGTTCTGTTAAGTGGGGGGTGGCCAAATGCAATTGTTTTAGAAAGGGCATATGGGAGAAATTACATATGATATGTATATAGAGCGTTATATTTTATATATTTAGACTAACATTGTTGCAATTACTGGTTTGCGATGGAATAGTGTATCAATCACTGTAAGAATTTATTTAAATTGTTACTCTCACATCATAAGTATCAATTTTAAATCGAATGCTATAAATTGTTACATCTATATTCTCCCAACATGTTAGAAAGACAGAACACTAGTTAAGAACATTCCAAACATACGTCATATGACCGTATATGGTAAAAGGAAATTATACTCGGCCTAATTATTTTGGACGTTTCAAACTTCAAAATTCAATAATCGTATGTATAATTTTACATCCACACAGCGTAATTAGAACCAAATTGATGATGCTATATCAGGAACAACGTTCATAATTTGATTGCCTTTTAAATATTGTCCTAATAAAAACCCGTTTTACTAAAAATACGACGAAATCCACTGAGGCGATTGTTCTCTAAAACTGACCAAGGTCAAAGTCACTGCTGAGAGCAGGTATAATAACTCTCAACGCAAACAAATTTATCGTTAAATAATTAGATTGAAGTTTTTTTCCAAAAATATACAGGTGTTGGTTTAAGTACGGTCATGGATTTTTTCATGTAATCTCAAGCTGTTGTTTCTATATTTGACTTGCTTCTCTGTCTTTGTTTTTTGTTCCACTATATTGCACAGGAGATATGTTATATATGTAATATAGAAATGTTTTGCGACTACCATCAGCAGGTGTCCGATCGACGAAAATACTGTTGTCATAATTCTTTTCATTGTATGATGTTAGTCTTGTTGAACCCTGGTTGAACAAGATCACATTGTCATTGACTTGTTGATTGAAAGTAAAGGCTAGTTTATACTATCAAACCGCTTTCTGTGGTATCAATAATTTAGCATGGGTAAATTCTGACTTTTTTTAGAACCACTGAGTAGTATTTTAACAAAATACAAAACAAGTGTAACTCCAAAGATCGACAACATTTTTATATTTATCATAAATATAAAAATTATATTTAATTATATTATTATTATTATATTTATGATAAATATGAAAATGTTATCGATCTTTGGAATTACACTTGTTTTTTGTATTTTGTTAAAATTCTGACTTGGTGTTTAACACCGAGTCTTTCCGAAGCTCAGCTCAGAAACCACTGCCAGCAGGGTACACTGAATCAGTTTCCTTAAACAGTTCTTACAAATCTTTCAAAATTTACCTACAGTAAAATTGCTTCTATGATCCGGTAGAAAGTTTGATAGTAATAAACCAGATCGTCTTAAAACTGAGAGATGTAATTTTAATTTACTTGTTTGTATAACTGCATGTTTAACTCATTTCTGAAGTTGAGACCCTCTGCTTGTTTGTGTAAGAATACGCTTACTGGAACTCACAATATTGCAAGCTATAACGGACTCAGATCAGAAGAAAATCCAAAGAGCAGAAAAAAATCCAAACAAGCAAAAACTTTCTGAGAAAAACCCACACAACCAGAAGGAGGCAGAAAAAATACATCACAACACGAGTGACAGTGAACAGTAAAAAAATCGATGCAAGGCAGAAAGTTCCTAACTTGGTTGTTAGGTATATATCAATTTTTGGACTAGTGTAGTAACGTGTATAATTGCAATTTTTTCCTCTTTACGCTTCATTACTCTACCGACAGTAAAGTTATATATTTTGACGATTGTCTACACACTTTACTCAAATACAATAGCAATTTATTTATTTATGTATTTATTTATTTATTAAACTTTGCCAAAACACGTAACAGAACAAATAGACATCTAGACAATAGACATGGACAAGTTTTCCGCAGTAATGAAAACGTCCATTTCATTCAGTGGCAAATCTTGCCCAATATGACGAATGTTAGAAAAAAATACGAGAGAATGAATCACTATTCAATTAATGTTGAGAACAATAAGTCAATGGGGATAAACTCAGTGCATATTCAGAGTATACGATATGAATTTTCTGAAAAGAGTTCTGATGGCAACATTCTTGTGACAAACAACCAAGAGTTGTAGCACCTGCTTGTAGTACCATATCATTAACGTTAATTCAAAATCACATTATTGTGTAAAATGCAAAGTTTTGTTATTCAGACTATATACGATATGAATTTTCTGAAAACAGTTCTGATGGCAACATTCTTGTGACAAACAGCCAAGAGTTGTGGCACCTGCTTGCAGTACCATATCATTACCGTTAATTCATCATCATTGCGTAAAATGCAAAGTTTTATCAATAAACCAAACGGTGATAGGGATTTAATACTCCCACGCGCATTTGTTTTACTATTCTAGTATTAAGCCTGGTTGATATATAATTCACAATATATATAACTATCTTTCACATAAAGATAATGCAAACTTAATAAACAGTAAGTAAAACTAAGTAAACATCCTACCTGTACAACGTTAGTAAACGAACAACTTGTCTTGTGCTTCACCATCCAAGTTTAAGTGAACTATAGTGAACTTGCGCTTCTTTAAATTAGCGCGCCAAATGCAGATCGTTTTCGGATATTGCAGGAATTGCTCGTTGGAATGTGGGCGATTTGATTTCGTTGCTGCGCAATTTTGCGCACTGTATTCTATTTTCAGGACAGGTACTATGAGTTTAATAACAGTGTCAAATTTGTATTGAATGACCTTTAGTTTTTACATTTGGCTTTAAACATACACCAATCCGGTTAGACTAATGATCCGAGGCCGGGGTGCTATGATTGGAATGTGCGCGCTGTGAATATGTCGCGCAATTTCAAGCCAAATATGGAAAGAATGGCGCAAAGTATGTAAATCGTGGTTAAAAATAACGCGACGTCTCGTGCTGCTAGATGTCACCCCCTTTAGATGACACCACGTGAAAATATTTAGACTGATCTGGGTTTAGTAACGGATTAGAATGTATGCAACGAAATTAGAATGATTTGCGCCAAATGTTAAATTGCGCAGAATTTGCACCTTTTGCGCGCAAACCATAAAATCACCTCTGCCAATATGGGTTGCAGGATAGGCAGTTATTGAAGTGAGCAAAATTGATCACCGTACCTATTCACCTTACGTTTGATGGCAAATACATGAACTGTAAATATTTACCATCATTGCTTGTTCCCTTAAGGCTATATTGGATAGCTTTTTGTAGCGGCGCGAAAAAGCACTTATCTGATACGAAATGTACAACTTTCAGAAGCTGAGCGAAACAACATCTCTCCGTTGCAGTCTGAAAATAACGTTCCCAAAAGGTTCGGATCGGTGTTTTCTCACGTCGCTACGGAAAGCTTTCTCACTTCTGGTACAGTGTAAACGTAGTGTGAAGTGTGAATACATTTAAACATCAAGTCACCTATATTTGAACTTCCTGAAACGTTATGCAATAAAGCTTTATTTAGGGCAAATTGTATATCTCGGGCAAATTGTTTGATTAGATTATCATCAGAATCTTAAAATAAACCTCAGATTAAATAGTAATCATGATATAATTAGCTATTACCTATATCGATAAAATATCAACTGTTATTTTTAGACTGTCTTTTTTTCGCGTTAACTATTTGAAAAAGTCTTCAGTATCAAAAAGATAAAACAAAGATAGACGAATATACTGTATATCAAATATACTGTATATAGGCGAATATAAATAACTTGAATTGTCTGTGCCAGTGTAGGCCGTAGTCGCCAATAATATAAACACGCTTTCGTTGGAATGGATGCGAATTTTGATTCTCCTTGTATTTTTCAGGTAGTTTTATCCCTACCAACGAAAGCTTGTTAAGATAGCCGAATAGCTGTACTGGTATGTCCTTGGTAACATTTATTAATAAGCTTTCTTAGGGAGTTCAAATATAAACCACAGTAGCTTTATTGTGGACCACCACGTTTGAAATGTCTTTTTTCAGGTAGTTCAGACGCAAACCACGGCAGCTTATTGTATGTTGAATACTACCTACACTGGACCACCACGTTTGAGATATCTTTTTCAGGTAGTTCACACACAAACCACGACAGCTTATTGTAGAATACTACCTACACTGGACCACCACGTTTGAGATATCTTTTTCAGGTAGTTCAGACACAAACCACGACAGCTTATTGTAGAATACTACCTACACTGGACCACCTCATTTGAGATATCTTTTTCAGGTAGTTCAGACACAAACCACGACAGCTTATTGTAGAATCAATGCTACCTACACTGGTCCCTCGCGGTGAGATATCTTTTCAGGTAGTTCAGACACGCACGTAGCAATATATTCTACTATATATAAAATACTGCCTACACTGGACCACCACGGTTGAAATTTTATTCTCAGATTTTTTTAGTTTTGGCGGATTTTTTAGTGAAAATTCTTTGGATTCTAAAAGATTACCATATGTATGCATTTAATAACGCAATTACCAGAATATCTGTTGTCGTATAGTAGCCAATATACTACTCGCCTTGCTAAAGTTTTGTTCAAATCTGGCAAAACCGAATTGAAATATGCAAAATTGCGGGAAATCTGAATAAATTGCGCCACAGGTGTTAGATCCCAGTCTCCCGTTCGCGCTGTAATGTAAACACGAAAATGACACGAATTCACGAAAATGCCTAAATGTTATAAAATTGTGTTTTTAGGGTCAAAAAAGGTTGGGAAAACTGCGATTATTGAACAGCTGGTTCACGGACATCATAATATAGGATCTGTAAGTGAAACAACTCAACACATTTTGCTTTATTTTGGTATAAATGCATTTTTACGCAGCTATTTAAGATTTGAATCCATATGTTAGATTGTTAATCACGTACAGTACAAAGGTACAGCGGATGGTCAGGGCTGCTGAGAGGGAGGGGGGATGGTCAGGGCTGCTGAGAGGGGAGTGTGGGGGAACTTTGTAAAACACCATTTAGCCCCTTTTACAATCATGATGTCATAGAGGGGGGGGGGGCCTAGGAAAGTTATAATAAAATAACAAAACAAGGCATTTGCTTCCTACTTTCAGAGTTTACATCCAACCATTGAAGATATTTACGAGGTGTTGATAGAAAACGATCAAAGCGTGAAAGAAAAAGTGAGAATATTTGATACAGCTGGACTGGTAAGGGTAATGATATTTTAAGTATGTATACATATTTTAACATTATGGAGGGGGGGGGCATTGGGGGGTATTCAATACCGTAATACCGCAAGCAAATTTTGTCAATTACCGGTTCCGCAGTTTTGAGTCCAAAATTGCAAATACCGTGTACCGCACGATTTCCAATATCGTAATACCGCAATTTTTCAAGGAAAATACCGAAATACTGTAAGAAAAATAAGCTAATACCAACTGATTGGAAAGAGGCTCTAGTAAAACCCCTTCTAAAAAAACCAGGACTAGCTGCTTTGTTCAACCATCTGCGTCCGATCAGTAACTTGCAGTTTATCTCTAAACTAGTTGAGCGAGCAGTTTATGATCAGATCTATGACCATTTGATGTTGCATGATTTATTCCCGGAGTATCAGTCCGCATACAGGCAAGGATACAGTACTGAGACCGCCCTTCTGAAGGTCCAAAACGACATACTTTTGAATATGGATTGTCAGCAGGTTACCCTTCTTGTTCTTTTGGACCTTAGTGCAGCGTTCGATACTGTCGATCACCGCATTTTATTGCACCGATTGGAAACATCTTTTGGGATTACAGGAACTGTGCGAAAGTGGTTTGAATCCTACCTATCTGGACGATGTCAGCGAATAGCATTTAAAGATGGAATCTCTGACATTTTTCCATTAACGTGTGGCGTACCTCAGGGCTCATGTTTGGGACCGCTGCTTTTTACCATGTATGCAAGTAAACTATTTGATGTTATTAAAGAACATTTACCAACTGCGCATGCATATGCTGATGACACGCAGCTTTATTTGTCGTTTAAACCAGGGAACGGTGCGAGTGAGGAAGAGAGTATCGCAGCGATGGAGACATGCATTAAGGCAGTACGTACGTGGATGACTAAGGACAAATTGAAACTGAATGATAGTAAGACTGAGTTTTTGATTATCGGCACAAGGCAACAATTAAAAAAAGTGAACATTGTCTCGCTTCCTGTAGGCGATGTCAACATTACACCGGTAGCATCTGCTAGGAATTTGGGGACTGTGTTTGATAGCAATCTGTGTTTGGTACCCCATATCAACAATACATGTAGACAAGCATTTTTCCACCTACATAATATTCGCAGAATTAGAAAATATCTCTCCGTTGACGCAACTAAAATCTTAGTCCATGCCTTTATCATGGGAAGAGTGGATTATTGTAACAGCCTTCTCTATGGTCTTCCAGCAAAGTCTGTAAATAAGTTACAACGTGTACAGAATGCGGCAGCCCGGCTGGTTTCCGGTGCTTTTCGTTTCAATCACATTACTCCAGTTTTATATGAGCTCCATTGGCTGCCTGTCAAGGAGAGAATAATCTTTAAGATATCTGTATTGACTTTTAAAGCAATACATGGATTAGCGCCATCATACATAAGTGAAATGGTAACAGTTATGATACCAAGTAGCTATCAGCTGCGCAGAAATAAGGAACTATTGATAGAGCCAGCTAATAACAGAAATACGAAGAAGACTTTAGGTGATAGAGCTTTTAGTTTTGCAGCTCCTACAGTTTTTAATGCCTTGCCGCATTTTATCAGACGAGATAGTAATTTTAATAGCTTTAAGTCTTCATTGAAAACATATCTTTTTCAAATTGCATATTGTACATAGATTTATCCGCTTATTTTAGTATATGTAAATATTATTACTATTACTATATCTTTGTTACGCGCATTTGATCATATTCTCATGTAAATTTGCGCGATATAAATATTAAATTATTATTATTATTATACCGTAAATCCCAATATCCCCTTCATGATGTCTTTGAACTAGTTTGCTACAGACTTTGATGAATAAACCATTCATATACAATGATTTCGAATCAATATTGTTTCAGGAATCCAATAATTCTGAATTGAGTAAACATGTTGCGATTGCTGACGTAAGTTATAAATAAGTTACATCTCATTAATAGAGAGCTTAGTAAACAAGTAATGTTTTTGTTTCATGAATGTGGGCTGGAAGTAAATGGCACTATGGCACTGTTCTAGATATGGCAACAGTTGTTCTTGTTTGAAATCCCAAATGAGAAACTGCATTAACTGCCTTTTTTATTTCCAGTATGATCACGAACTGCTTAAACGCCATAATTAACAAATAAATTATACGTGTGAATGTCCATGTTGTCAAAACATATTTACACGAATGAGTGAACTTTATATTCAGAATAATTTTTAATATAATTTATTTTTAATTATTTTTAATAATTTTATTTTTTTTATAATTTTTTTTTCAGCCCTAATTTTTTTCTTTTTTATAAATCAGGGCTTTGTGCTAGTGTACAGCATCACATCAAAGTCATCCTTGACTGTCATTGAAAATGTTAAAAAGGAACTTGAGAAAAAGGGAAAGGAGGTTAGTTGTTCTTCTCAACATATATTAACCCATTGAGTGCATTAGACTCTCCCCTAGATGAGTAAAATCGTCTGACGTTAGACAGAGTAAAAGAATAAAGTAGGGCACATTTGGAAGCATTGCTGTTTAATGGGTTAACAAGACACATTAACAGATTGTTTGGTTAACCCATTAGAGTGCAAGACTCTCTCATTGACGAATAAAATTGTCTGGCATTAGACAAAATAGAAGAATGAAGTAGGGCACATTGCTGCTTAATGGGTTGACCCGAAGTGCCTGGCACATTGAACTAAGTTTGGTATTAGTCATGATGTCAGACAATGTTTAGAGTGTCAACCCAACACCACCCCCTCCCACTTGAAATGGCTATAAGGAATGCCACTGGTTGAGGTATTTTTTAATAAAATGTATTTTTATTCAGTCCTGTCCACTGATTGTGTTGGGAACTAAAACAGATTTGTTAGAGGAGAGAGAATGTGATTATAAATCTGCTCTGAAATGGGCAGACACTGAAAAAGGTTGGTTTTCTAAATTCTGGTTTGCCTGAGTGAATAACCCTTAGAGGTAACACAATTTTCAATACATCAAAACATTAGGTATACACAATGCAATGTGGGTCAATTATGTATAAAAGATTATTAAATAGTTTGCTGTTTTAACCCAGAGTGGCAGCACTCTCCCCTTGACGAGTAACATCGTCTGGTATTAGACAGAGTAAATTTATAATCAAGTACATCTGGGTGCATTGCCACATGGGGGCCGGGTTATAAACAAATACAATATCTTATATTTTATTTAGTAAAACTTTATGAGATATGTGTTGGTGATAGACAAGCATTGAAAGAACCTCTCGTTTGGCTTGTCTCGCGAATGGGATGCCTGACAGGTACATTTCATTAAATTTTATTGACCAATATACCATACAATCCACCGTACAATTTTACACTATTTTCTGCTGTAATTTCAGGCAAAAACTATTTGACAACGGGTAAATCAGATGTCAAGAAATTTCTGTCGAAGAAACGGCCAGGAAGTAGTAAATCATTGACGAAAGAGAACAGCATCAGCGACTAAACACTTTAAAAACATCACAAATTTGAATTTATTTATTTCAATTTACAAAACCTAGCCTTTAATATGACATTTGATCTCTGACATATTATGTTATAAGATATTCTTAAAATACTCATTGATAAACCTGTAGTTTAAGATTTAAATGTCAGATTTCTAATATTAAACGAACACTCGGCGTTTTTAATATGGCCTTCGTTGCTTGACACAAAACTAGGTTTCTTTTGTGGTAGGTTAAATTATATGGTTAAATGAAGTATCTTGGCACAAACTGCAGGCTCAGTATATTTTTGTTTATTTTTTTTGGTTGAATTATTAAATGCGCAAAAAGATTGAAACCAAAATGGATCTAAATTTTGTTTTATTTACATGTTTTATTTCTTTTGTCTCAGGAGAAAATGTGGATGGTTTGGAGCTTAAGATGGCTAGTGTTGTAAGTTGTTTTTAGTTTATTTTTGAGGCGTATTCTTACTTGAATTTGAAGTGTAAATGTGTAAATATAACTTTAATATGTCTTATGGTCTATGAAGACTTCATAATGAAGTCATAAAATACTTAGTTGGTAAACTATTTATTAACTACGTTTATGGGTTTATTAACTACGTTTTGAAATGAAATGTTTTAATCTTAATAGCATGTGTAAATGCACAATAAATGTATGCTGTTTCTTAATAAATAACGATCAGTTTATACTTGATATGAAATTTCGCTGTTTAATAGTATTGGCCCAGTTTATAGTATAAAGCAAATTAAACCTGATTAGCAGATTAAAACTAATCAAATGCTTGTGACAAACAAATGCAAGAGCCTCTCCATAGATTTGTTTAAATAAACACCATGATAGCCAGAAGAGAAATGCCCTCACAAGCCAAGCATTCCTCACAAGCTAAGCACACTATATTATTACTATAACTATATCAATTTACACAGTACCATTATACATGTATGTATATAGAAAAGAAAGTTATCATATATTTTTAACAATTGTTGTAAATATTTTTTCTACTTTTGTAAACCACATAGCCCTTTGAAAACCAGGCAACAGAAAGGCCACCGTGTGTCTAAATAAGTTTAAATAATAATAATGATAAAGACATAAAAAGCTTTGTTTTCATAAGTCCTTGACTTTTTTTAAATGCTGATTCACTTCAATTTTTCTCTAGTTATATCGTCATGGAGATAGGTCTCCAGTTGCTACATTTCCAAAAGATGAGCACAGAAGTTATTGGAAACAGGGTCTGGGACAGCTTACGGAGGTGACTATTTAGTTTGCTTGATGTATAAGTTGACGAAACCCCCAGTTCTGACAATGTTTGTGAGAAACAGAAAATGAAGTTCTGCTGATGGAAATGAAACTGCTAATGATTATCAAACATATAATAGTTTTGTTTCTGGAAACACCATGTAAATTTATTACTGCAAAGCTTTTGATCCGTAAGCCAGGATCTTCATCAATGCTAATAATATGAATAGATAATAGATCCGGGCTTACGGATCAAAAGCTTTGCAGTAATAAATTTATGTGGTGTTTCCACAAACAAAACTTATATGTTTTAATGCCATGCAAACGTACAAAGAATCGATTATCAAACACTTATTATTTACTATATGCTGTAACAAAATCTATCAAATACTCTAACAACAAGTGAATTTCCTTTCATTGATGAGTGAAATTGTTCATGATATTAGGGTAAATAATAAAGTAAGCTGTATTAGGGACCTGTGTAACTCCACCTTAAGTTGCATGGCTAACAAAATTTCTGCAACTTGCAACAAAATCTGATTTCAACGCATGTTAATTGAAAATGTTTACACATAAATTACAAATCACAAGGCAACATGTGTTGACATTTCTACTTAACATCCGTTGAAATCAGAGACGGATTTTCATATTTTCGTTCGGGGGGTGGATAAATATCTGGGCGGGGTGCTGCTGCTTGCTTTGGCCGGGGCGTGGTGGCAACGCCCGGAAAGGCCAAGGAAAAAGTTTAACAAAATTTGTTTTCTAGGCCTGCATGGTGAGATCTGAGACCATAATATTGGTAATTTTACAAATTTAGTAGTAAGAATAATCAAATATGAAACTATCAAATCATATAACTCCAGCTTTAATGGGTTAAATAAACTTTTTTCCAGATTGGAAAGAAACAAGAATTCTCAATGGGTCAATTTCTGAAGAAGAGATATGTAGTGAATAAGTTCTTGAATCAAACCTACCTCAGAAAACAGGTAAAAACAGTTCTCAAGCGTAATAGTCTAGGACCTGTATAGGAGTTGTATGTGTTTCATTTAGCATGTAGGTAACTTCACTTAGCACAGTCATTAACCTTTTCACGTTTACATCTCACTTAAACCTGCACAAGCATGCATAAACATCCAAGTTGAATGCTTATACCGATGATATTCAACAACCAGCATGAACATCCAAGGGCGCTTTCCATTTAATGGCCTGACCTGTCAAACCCGAATTCTTTTCTCTGTATCAATGGAAAGATCTGGTGTATGTATCTCAAATATCTAGCAAGAATGGACCTTGTTCTAATGTTATCAAAATTTTCCGGTCAGATAGGTCCAAAGCCCAAATATTTTGTGTTCAATTCAACAATTTGACCGTTCTGACCGGCCTGGCTGTGTTAATGGAAAGCACCCCAAGTAAGAAAAATATAGAATAGAAAAGTAAATGGAAAGTTTAGGAGCACAGACAGAAGATGGAAAGAGAAATATTATGGTAGAATGTGTAATTATATTAATTAGTTGTGATGAAAGAGTGTGAGCTAGGTAAGTCAGGAGTGTATAGGCAGAAGCAGCACCCATCTTGTTTTAGATTGGTGAATGGCAAATTTCGCCAGCACTAAGAAGACATTTGACAGCCATTCGCCAGAGGCTGTGTGTAATTCGCCGGTACTTGCAGTCAAGCTGACATTTTTAGCCAGGTCTTGCACTCGGACAATCTATCAAATAGACAAAGCTTGCAAGCCTTTGCACACCACTCAACTCACAGCGCCCTTGAAGCTTCAACCTTCCATTCTTTGCATACTCCCTTCGCTCATCAATTAATAACCAGAGCCTCAGTAGAGCAAAACAGTATTGGCCATACCCAAATTATTATTAGCCAGGACTTCAAACGGATACCTGAAGGGCTTGAAGCTGTTAAATGGGGGCAAATAACCAATTAACAAGCTTCATTCTTTTTTAAGGTTCATTGTCGTTGTTCAGATAAGGATCGATGTTTGATGAGTGCAGAAGCACAAATGGCTGGATTATACCCACCTTTATATGTCAAGGTATTGTAAGATGAAAATCCCAACAGCTTGGACTCACACTCGCATAGATTTACTAGTCACAGACATCTTTCTCAGTCCATTAATGTACACAAGAGTACTCTCCCCTTGACAAGTAAAATTATCTGGCATTAGACGGAGTAAAATAATAAATTGGGGTGCATTGAAGCCCTTGAATGGATTAACCCCCTAATGGCAATGCACCATAACATTATAGTATTTTACTCTGTCTAACGCCAGACGATTTTACTCGTCAAGTGGTGAGTGCTGCCACTCAATGGGTTAATTAACCGCCCATGCATCCTCTTAAGGGAAGGCACAAGACTTTCCCCTTGACAATCAAAATTATCCAGTGTTAGATAGAGTAAAATAATAAAGTGGGTAGTATTTGGGTGCATTACAGCTTAATGGGTTAATATGACACTTTTATCATAGTTTATAACTTCATATTTAATTAGAAACCTGTACAAGATGACAAGGAATGGCAATTTTGGCAGCTGATTCCAATTCACACTGTGCCGCAAAATCATGATAAGGTCAGGGTCAATGCATTGATGTTGTTTACTGTATTATGAGGAACTTTGATAGAGTGTAAATCAGGCATGGATCCAGCATGATCTGGTAAGGGGGGGGGGGGTGCTCTGGTGCCGACTGCCGAGTTGTGTCGGTCATGTGTGCCGCCCGCCCATCAACTACTGTATTTGAATTGTAATTGTTGTTCACAGTTCACTTATCATCATGTTATTACTCAAATGACTGTATCTCATTTTGTCTTTTTTGCTTTATCATAAAAAATAGCAACCCCCCTGCACCCCTTCTGGCCCGGGCCGGGCTTGAAGTTTTTCAGTCATTTTGTATTACAAATGGGAAATTGGTAATCAGTTTGATCATCTGATTTGGTAATCAGTAATCAGGAAATTGGAAATTTGGAAATTGGTAATCAGTTTGATAATCAGTTTGATCATCTGATCACTTTGATGATCAGCTTGATCATCTGTTTCCCGTGCGTAATACAAAATGACTGAAAAACGGCAAACTTCGCAAGGCTATATTATCCGCATTTTACAACATTTCGCAACGAAACTTCGGAATATTACTAATTTTGTGATGCTCTTCCAAGCTGTGATGAAATTTTTGTCCAGACTTGTCTAGGTCAAAATTTCACTCATAAGGGGAAAGGTCTATTGGCAAAGCTAAACAATTGACTGAAACTTTGATAGTGTCAACCAGATTTTAAAATGTTGTCTAATTTCTCTAGAAATGTATTGTGTATAGTTACAAACTGCCATATTTTGTGTTATTTTAGTTACTACGACCATATGATTACAATGATTGTCCAAGACTGCAAGAAATCAAACAAAAATCTTTCAGTGATCCTGAATATATTGAGATGGAGAAAAAATATAAGGTCAGAGAATATTTTATTTTGAAGCTTAATGATAACTTTATTTATTTATTTGCCTAAAAAAAAGATGTACATATATTAAGTTATTTACAATATTTTAGTATATAAAGTATAGTGCTTTATAGATATTTCCAGCACTGATGAAGGGATAATCTCACATGTGAGATTATTCATGATAATCTCACATGTGAAAATTATCGCTTTTCAATTATCGCTTTTCTGTACTGAAAAATTATCGCTTTTCAAAGACTGTCCTTTATATAATAAACAGAAAAATACATGGGTGCGCGGAAATACCAGATTTATTTCTCGTGTACTCGAAATAAATCTGGTATTTCCGCGCACCATGTATTATTCTCTATATAATACACCCTTTCGATGATTACGTCACAACTACACTGTTTTCAACTTAGGACCACCTTAAATGGAAAGGATTTCAAGTTTTTTTTCTCATGGGCTATGCACAGAAAAGTAGAACATCCTTCTTCAACACATGCATGAAAAAGAATTTTTATTTTGATTAACACGAAAACGAGGCTCCAGGTCATGACCTGGAGCCTCGTTTTCATGTTAATGCTTATTTCTATATTTATTGATCAAAATCCAAAAAATGTTTTCACGCATGTGTTGAAGAAGGATGTTCTGCTTCTCTGTGCATAGCCCATGAGAAAAAAACTTGAAATCCTTTCCATTTAAGGTGGTCCTAAGTTGAAAACAATGTAGTTGTGACTTAAATCTCGAAAGGGTGTATTATAATAAGAGCTAGTAACCTACTAGAAACCTTGACAAGCTTTTTATTAAGGCCCCTAGATTAGGATTAACTATTTAAAGTTTTTGACAGTTCAAAACTTTCAAAGCAAAACAATTAATAACTATAATCTTATCCACAAAGTTGATTGTTTAATTGATTATACATCCATAGTAAGCACATATAGTTAGACGTTATAGAAACTTAAAAAGAAAAGTTCTAAATACATGAAATTGGAGTTTAGTTTATTAAATCTAAGACTAAGTACTGCAGATCTGTTTGAAGTGCTTTTTTAATAATTTCTTTAAAAGATTGAAGGGATCTAATATTTTTATGTATTTTTCTAAACCATTCCAAATATCAACTCCCTTGTTTGAAAGAATTGGTTCTTTTATAAGATATATGAAGCTGTTATGTTTTCCTTGTATTGTGATGACTAATGAACATCATTATTAATTGTGAACTTTGTGAAATAGTTCGTGAAAAATATCTTCATGCGTTATGATTTGTTTTCAGGATTTTATTCAAAATGTGAGCATTAATCTTGGTCTGTCGAAATCACTGACATTGAACACCATTTACAAAGCTTACGACGTATTTTTCTGTCAGGTATGAAACAATCTTCTTTAACAAGAAAATATTTAACCCATTCGGGGCCAGCGCTTGCAATACAACATAGGCTGTGTTCAGACTGAGTGCTCGCCACTGGTGCCCAATGTTCGAACTGTTTCCCAAAACATGTTGAGCACAGTGCCGTTGTCGAGTACTTCCTCTAGAAGTAGTGTCCTTTCTTGGGCACTGTGCCCAATTTCATTTGGAAGCGTCATGTTCAAACTAGGCGCCAAAGCAAGTGCCAGGCACCCGTTAGTTTTATTTTTAAAGGTTTACAAGATGCATTAGTCTGATTCTCTTTCTTTCTCAGAGAGCTCATAACTTATCTTGGCCTGACTGGCTCACACCTGATATTTTTGAGAAACTCGAAGTTCTGCAAGATTTTGATTTTGTTTGGATGTTTAATACTCCGGAAAAGGCCAGATTAACTGGAGGTATGTAGTGATATCCAGTGCTGTATAACCAGGGCTTTACTTTGGAGTACAAAGCAAGCAAGTGCCGATGATGCCAGTACGGATGGTGCCCTACACTGTAAAATTCAAGGAGTTGAAGAGGGGTGGAAAAAATGTTTTACTTTCTTGGACCACAAAAGAACATTGATAATTTTCTGTAAATAATCAAGTAAATCGATACTTAGACACTATAACTGTGTTAGGGATGAGCCGATAAGGAAAATTGCCGATTACTGAGGCCGATTATTTATAAGCCGATTATTGTAACTAATCGACCGATTAATCGGTACCCACCGATTATTTTAAAAAGCAAGCGAAAAATCACAAGATGACCAACAATGAAGTTGTAAATGCGGTTTTATTGTTTACAATACACACTTTGTACAATTAAAAACCGCTTCAGTCTCGCATGTCAATAGTCAAAGTTTAGTTTTGGCAGATTATGATGTAAAAAGAAGACATTGTCAGCTATGCGGAGCTAGTTTTTTTAGTTGAAATGTTCCCAGCTTCACTTCGCTTGAGACAAAAGACACAGGTTTTGCAACAAAATGTGAAAATCTATTCGTTGGACTACCTAAATAGGTAGTCCAAGAACTAAAAAAATGGTATGGTATAATATCTCTATGTTTGTTTATTTGTTTATTTCTAAATGATAATATACTACAGTGGTCTATTCGTAGTCCAAACACTAGCTGAATATATATTGATGTTCTTTGGTTTATATGAGTTTATATAGTTAATATTACCGAGTAATATCCTGTCGAAACATAACACTTATACTATGACTATATAGTGACGAATATATTGACTATACCACATACGGGTACCAATTTTATCTGTGCCGTACCAAAAATTCAGCGTAGTATAAACGGGGCTTAACAAGTTGCCAAAAACTGGTTGTCATGCTGTATTTTACAATAAAAAAATTTCACTGAGAATCTTAAAATATAAAAACATAAAACTAATTTACATTTTCACTTTAGTATAGAGTTGTGAAGAGAAAACAAATTGTTTGTTTTGTTCTTAGGTGTCTTGCTGGGGGAGATGATACAAAATATGAAAAAGTTTAAAAAGAATCCTGGGAATGCCAAAAAGTTACATGTCTATTCAGCGGTAAGCATGTTTCGATTTCTATGAAACATATATACAGTGTAGGTATGGTGCCAATAATAAGAGACTGAGAGAGGCTCGGATCGATGCAACATCCTTGTATTTTTCAGGTAGTTGCAACGCTATTAATCCGAGGCTTTCATGTTTAACACATTAGAGTGCAAGACTCTCTCCTTGGCGAATAGAATCGTCTGGCGTTAGACAGAGTAAAAGAATAAAGTCACTTTGGGCGCATGGCTGCTTGATGAGTTAACAAGACACATTGCCAGATTGTTTTGTTAACCATTAGAGTGCAAGACTCTCTCCTTGGTGAATAGAATCGTCTGGCGTTAGACAGAGTAAAAGAATAAAGTAGGGCGCATTGCTGCTTGATGGGTTAACAAGACACATTGGCAGATTGTTTTGTTAACCATTAGAGTGCAAGACACTCTCGTCTGGCGTTAGACAGAGTAAAAGGATAAAGTAGGCGTCTGCATTTGGGCGCATTGCTGCTTGATGGGTTAAAGTTTCTTAAAAAATATCATCCCAAGGTTAGTGTATGCCTGTATGGTCCTTATTTCTTTTCATTATAGCACGACACCACTGTGGTTGCATTGCTGAGCGCTTTGAAAATCTACACTGGCATTCCACCGCCATATTCCACTGCATTTCTGATGGAGTTGTATTACAGCAAGTAAGTCTTAACTGGTGTTTGTGATGTTACTCTGAGTATGCATCCACGTGCACTGGGAAAGCTGAAAGGTTTGCTGGTCCAATGCTCTACCAACTGAGCTACGAGGTCAACCAATTCGAACCGACTTGACCTCGTTGCTCAGTTGGATAGAGCATTGAGTTTTCTAGTATCCCGGGTTCGATTCCCATCGTGGTCAGGCAAACTTTTCAGCTTGCCCGGTGTGAATGCACACTCAGAGTAACATCACAAACATCATATTCACCTGAGTACATAACACCAACACACACATAAGTCTTAGCTGGTTTATCTCATTTCAATTTGTTCTGTAGAAGTACGTCGAAATATATGGTTCGAATGTTCTATCGAAACGATACATCTCAACCACATCGTGCTTATGAACTTTCCATTCCTGGTTGTCCGCTCAATAGTTGCTCTTTGGATAGTTTTATCACGTAAGTATTGTGTCGGTGGGAAAGTGTCACAGTGCTCAGTAACATCAGTGTGTATGTGTCTTTGGCTCAGGTTGGATTCCTGCAGAAGTTTGACTCTACCAAACATCATAGGTTTCCTCTGAGAACCGTATAGTCTCCCCCTGTAGTAACGCTGAACAAATAAAGTATGTCCCACACTGGATCTCTGGGGGGAACAGTAGAACACTTCCTGATAATATTCAAAATGTCGGGCATCCAGGGGGGTGAATGCCTCTCATAAGCGCACTGGCTAGGACCATGGCGTCAGCATTTTGATGACGAATCATGGCGTAGCAGCAGTTACGCTTTTTCGGCTGAGTCAATCTTCTGTGTGTCTTTATTCTGTGCTATTTCTCTCTGCAGTCTGACGTCGTCTGCTGTTCCCAAGGACTACGAAGCTGAGTGTCACGTCAATCAATCATCTTGCTCAGTAAAGTGTAAAACGAACGATTGTAACGAGAAAACGTGTAAAGGTGAGCTACATTTAGCCTTGTACCGAACGAACAATGTACTATTTATAACATGAACGATCGTGTTGTATCGGATATACAACATGAACGGTCGTGTTGTATCGGATATACAACATGAACGATCGTGTTGTATCGGATATACAACATGAACGATCGTGTTGTATCGGATATACAACATGAACGATCGTGTTGTATCGGATATACAACATGAACGGTCGTGTTGTATCCGATATACAACGTGAACGATCGTGTTGTATCGGATATACAACATGAACGGTCGTGTTGTATCGGATATACAACATGAACGGTCGTGTTGTATCGGATATACAACATGAACGATCGTGTTGTATCGGATATACAACATGAACGGCCGTGTTGTGTCGGATATACAACATGAACGGGCGTGTTGTATCGGATATACAACATGAACGGCCGTGTTGTGTCGGATATACAACATGAACGATCGTGTTGTATCGGATATACAACATGAACGATCGTGTTGTATCGGATATACAACATGAACGGTCGTGTTGTATCCGATATACAACATGAACGATCGTGTTGTATCGGATATACAACATGAACGGTCGTGTTGTATCGGATATACAACATGAACGGCCGTGTTGTGTCGGATATACAACATGAACGGGCGTGTTGTATCGGATATATATGATATTTGGTAAGAAAACTGAACTTAAAGTTTATGCAAATCAGCATGATTTTGTATCAGAGATCGCCGCTTTCCATTAACACAGCCAGTACGGTCAAGTTGTTGAATGAAACACAAAACGGATTTATGAATAAACGTTGACCAACATAAATAATGAGTTATATTGTTATTCTAATGAGTTTCACAGCCATCTTCCCTTCGATAGGCTATGACCCATCTGACCAGAAAATTTAGATAAAATTAGAATGAGGTCCATTTTCGCTAGATATTTGAGAAACATAGACCAGATCGTTCCATTGATACAGAGAAAAAAATTCGGGTCTGACGAGTCAGGCCATTAAATGGAAAGCGCCCAGGAATACAAACTCCTTCACACTCATGATTTCTTTTGTGTTTTCTTCATGAATATTACCAGTAATGAGTTTCACAATTTTTTTTAGATACTCTAACTGCTGTTGTTATAATTTTGTTGCTGGCCTTTATTGCTTTCGTTGGATATATCGTGCGTCGTTGTCAGGTGAAAAGAAATGCAAAATCTCTCCGACATTTTCAACAAATTCAAAACGAGGAATGGGACTCTGAATAATTGACTACGTAAGATCTTCGGGATGTCTTTGGAAAATATCGCATCATGGTCACGTATGTTAAATTGTTTTTGTCTGATGTTGTGGAGATATTAGAGAACTGAAGAAATGGTAAACTGGTTAGGGAGTGGTCATTATTTAGGGGGGGGATGGGAGGGGGGGGGGCAAGCGAAGTTTGGTTGTATCGGATATACAACATGAACGA